ATATTTTAATTTTAACCAATACAGGACTGTAATAGTGTCGAAGTTGCTGACAAGTTTAGACACACTACAACAAACAAAAGTTTAAGTAATGATGCAGATCACTCTATTTCCTATAAACATTCGGATAATCCAGAAGTAGTTGAACAAAATTCTGTGGTAATCACTAGTTTCAAAAAACCAAATACCTTTGAATTAAAAATGTTTTTCAAAACTCACCCAGTTCAACCTTTTAATAATGTAATATTTAACCCATTACTTACATACTACCGAGTTAAAGATAATAACAACTATAAGCGTGAATGGTTAACTTATGAACATAGTAGTAAATTATTTTACTGTACKTTTTGTTTAGCTTTTTCAAAAAATTCTAACCGTTTTACTATTGGTTGTCAGTCAAATCCTCGACATTTATATCAGCGTCTTTGTGAACATGAAAAATCAGTTGATCATAGTCAATRTATAGATTCATATTTACTATATTCAAAACAAAAAGATCTCTATAATATGTTTACAAAGGAAAATCAAGCTGAGAAGTGTAAGAAAAGAGCTGTCTTAGATCGCATTATTGAAACAATAAAAATGATTGGTAAGAGAGGATTAAGTTATCGTGGTGCTAAAAACGCTGAGGCAGCTTATACTCTCAATGATGCCACAATAGATCATGGAAATTTCTTAGAAGTTCTTATATTGATATCAAAATTTGATCCTCTTTTAAAAGATCATATAAATAATGCTGTTTTAAAAAGTTCGAAATTCCATAACAATAACTAAGTGACTGGAAAAAAATCTTCAGGTCGCCCAGGCAGTCTAGTTACATTATTATCAAAAACAACCGCAGATTACATTATAGAAGCAATARGACAATTAATGAGAAAATGTATTTCAGATGATATCAATGAAGCCCAGTTTTTTTCAATACAAATTGACTCGACGCAGGACATAAATGTTCATGATCAACTTTCTGTTATTATTCGAWACGTAAATACTAATGTAAATGAACGATTACTAGGTTTTGTAAGATGCATTTCTGGAAAAGGAKAACAATTGTGCAAATTGGTTTGTGAACTTTTGACAAAATCTGGATTGGATTTAAACAAATGTGTGGGTAGTTCTACCGATGGCGCTGCAAATATGCGTGGAGAATATAACGGATTTACTGCATGGTTAAAAAAGGAAGTTCCAGAACAAATACATGTGTGGTGCCATGCACATATTCTTAACTTGGTAATGACAGATGTCGCCAAAATATGCATAGAATGTGTCTCTTTTTTTGGTTTATTAAGCTCTATTGCTGTTTTTGTTCGTGAGTCCTACTTGAGAATGAATAARYGGGAAACAACAAGTAAATACAAATTTATATCTATTATTGGAGAAACTAGGTGGTGGGCCAAAGACCGTTGTGTAAGTAAAATATTTGGGTCATTTCATAATCCTAAAGATGCACTCTTTGTAGATATTGTTCAAACTTTAGATGAAATTTATAATACACCAAATTTTACATCAGATGTTAGATTCAAGGCTAAAGTTTACGTTGATTCGTTATTGAAATATGAAACAATTATATTAAGTCAAATTTTTTTACAAATATTTTCATCAACAACACCACTATCTCTTTATTTACAAACAAAAGKATTGGATATTTTTCAGGCTTACAAAATGGTCAAACAAACTACGAATACATTAAATAAACAATCTCGCAATTTTGAAAATATTTTAGAAGCATCAAACACTTTTACGGAATGGGCAAACATGACTCTTAATGATTTGGGTTTAAATAKACCTCGAGAATTTACTGAACATAGAATTTCAAGAAAAAAAATAATGGCAGGAGAAATTAGTAAAGACGATCCAACAATAAACCAAGTAAACAAATATCGTATTAACGTATTTAATGTGATTTATGATCAAATTATAAACAGCATAAAACATAGATTTTCGGAACATGAAATATTTTCTAGTATTTCAATTTTAGATCCCTCTAATTTTATTTCAACTCTAAATTTAAGCCATATCGATATAGCAAAAAGACTTATCAAACTAACAAGYATTTTAAACAAATTTGATCCTAGCTTAACTGTAGGAACATTTACCGATGAAATTAAAGATTTTGCTTCTAAATGGCCTAAAATTAAACAACTTGCTGATGATGATGACCAGGAAAAATTATTACAATATGACGATAATGATGAGGACAATGAAGAAAAAATTGATGAAAACAAAAATACATGTAAAGATTGTATTGTATGTTGTTTTAAAGTTTTACAAATCTACAATTTACATTCCATGGCATATTCAAGTTTATTTTTAGCGTATAAGTTTATTTTAACGCTGTCTTGTACGCAAGTACGTTGTGAAACAGCGTTTTCAAAGTTAAAGTATATACTAAATAGACTCAGAAATTGTTTATCGCAAGACAAAATGGATACATTTTTATTAATGAATATTGAGAAAGACATTTTACAAAACATCAAAAATGAAGACGTCATACAGTTATTAATAGCTAATAAAAGTAGTTTATTAAAAAATTTACTAATTTGAAAATTATGTGACATAACATTTATTTTTATTTTTTGACATTTTACAGTAATATTGTTTAATAATAATTACAATAATAAACTATTAAAGTTTTACTTATGTTTTTTGTATAATATTATAATATAATTCCTAGTATGTTTGATTTATAATTGGAGAAAGAAATAGTAGTACTTGTATTTACATTAAGGGTCTATAAATTAAATCTTGTTATATACTAATAAAATTTGATAGGTTAAGAAAAAAATTGTTTAGGAACTTGAGCCGGTCTAGGTGGACAGCCCGGTAAGTAATTTCTTCCCAATCCGGCGCTGACTGACACCTATCAAAAGAAAATTTTATACATAAGTGGTTAAATTGAAAGCAAAAGTTCAAAGAATGTCCAATATTAAAGCATCATTAAAAAGTAAATTATGTGTAGCAAAAAAGTTTATAAAAAGTAATATCTACAAAGGTTTTCAAGAAAAAATAAACAAAACTACTTTAGAGTTTATCGAAAGCCAAGTAGGAAATCAACACAAAAAACTTAATGGTAGAAGGTATACGTTAAATGATAAAATATTTGCTCTATCTATTTCCAAGTCTTCTCCAAAAGCGTATAAGTTTTTATCTAAAATATTTGCCTTGCCTTGTGAAACTACATTAAATAATTTGCTTGAAAAAATACCTTTTATACCCGTCATTAATAGTCACATTGAGGAAAATACGAAGCACCAAGTGAAACAATTAAAACCAATGGACCGAACTTGCATAATTTTATTTGATGAAATGGCTCTTGAGCCTGGTCTAAAGTACGACAAAAAAAATGATTTAATGTTAGGTTTTGAAAATTTTGGGAAGACTCACAAACAAATTTGCAGACCATGTACTGGTTTTTATGATAAAAGGTGTAAGCAAAAAATGGAAACAACTTTATGCTTACTACTTTTGTCAAGGAACCACTAAAACAAATTAGTTAGTTACTTGTATTAAAGAAGCTGTAAAGAGTGTTAAAAGTACAGGCATTAACATAATAGCATCCGTGTGTGACCAAGGCCCTACAAATAGAAGTGCTATTAACTATTTACTAAATGAAACAAAGGCTTATTATAAAAATAAAGAGATGCATAGAGTTGCATATGAAATAGACAATGTTGAAATAATCCCAATATATGATGTCCCACACCTGACAAAATGTTTGAGAATAACCTTAGAACCAAAGACCTAGAATTTTTCATGAATGGGAAAAAATTACAGGCTTCGTGGGACCATATCATAGAATTATTTTAACCCTTTCAGACCTGATGTTTTTTTTTTAGAAAAAAAATTTTTTTTTGTAAATTTTTTATTAAGTCTATTTAAGGATGGTCTATGCATTTTTTTATAATTTTTGCACCTATATTTATAGAAATACAGGTAGGGTCACATAAATGAACCAGCGGTCTATAAGGAATGAATTGAACAACAGTTTTATTTTTTTTTAAATATATATAATATAATATTATTATAGCTAGACAAATAAACTAAAAATTTTAATGACCTTTTTATAATAAAATAAATAATATTAACACCTGTAAAACAATAAATGACATTTATAAAAACTTTTTATCAACTTAAAATTATGTAATTAATTATTTCTTTATTTTTTTGTATGAAACTCTTTGAAACAATTTCTGTCTGACGACAAACATAAATGTACATCACATTTTTCGCAGAATGTATGAGTTCTATGTTTTCTGGAGCATTCGGGGTTTTTGCACTTTGTTGGATTTTTCAGACGGTCAACAGCTGGAATATGGTCGATCGTATCATATCGTATTGCATCGGAGGGTATGCTGCTGTCAGTTCTGTTCAGTTTTTGACGCGACACTTCTGAGTCTGAACTTCTTGATAAATTTAGTGCACTTGTAGGTGACGCATTATTTAGAGGTCTACCTTTTCTCTTAGGTGTTGCAGATTTTCCACAATAAATTAACTCATTCGCTAATTGTAAACGAAAATGTAATAAATCCAAAGTTTTATTTTTTTGAACGTTTAACAGTTTAGCGTCTTCTAAATATTGTAGCCAGCAATTTGCTACTACCATATCAAAAGCATGAGTTATTATATATGTTATTATATATTATTATTAAATATTATTATTATATAGTTATTATAAATGTTCTATATGTACTAATTAACTGATCAATCTTATCCACACCTCCCATTGATTTATTGTAAAGCGAAATTATTTCTGGTCTCTCAATTTCAACGTACTGCTTATTTTTTTTGTCCCATCGTTTTATTTTTACTGAATTTCCTGATGTTATGAAATTAGAAGCAATATTGACTGGTTTGTTATCATACCACTAGAACAGTCATTATTTTTTATTGATTTTATTTCAAAGGATGTACCGCGTCCCATTTTCGCCAAGACTTTATCCGCTAACAGAGGGGGATTTGCAAAACGGTTAGTTCGAATAGTCCCTGCTGCATAAATACCAAGATGATTATAAACGTTCGAATAATTGATATGAAGAAAAAAAGTTGTCGAAGTATAGATAGTGGGAATTTTTTTTTATACCTTCGGCCAACTGTAGTACTATAGAACCACCAATTCCGAAAATTTTTTGTAAATCTTGGTTTATTTCAGTGTTTGATCCTTGGTACAATATGAAGTCATACACCATACCATTACTTCCAGCTAGTACAAAAATTTTGATTCCCCATGGACATGGCTTACCTTTTATGTATTGCTTTATTGATAGATTACCCTTGAAAGGCACCATTTGCTCGTCGATACTAAGATTTCTCTCCTTGATCAAACTGTTACATTGCTTTTTTATTAAATTATATAACGGGCGGACTTTAATAAATTTGTCTTTATTATTCGGTGGTATGCTAACGTTGTCTATTATATGAAAATTAGATCTAAGTTGAAAAAATCTATCTCTAGTCATATTATTAGCAACAGTATTTATACGGTAAGCTTCCTCCCAATACATACGTACACGTGGGAATTTAAGGGTTCCCATGATAATATGAATAGCTATGAAACATTTTATTTCTTGAGCATTTGTCGGTGAAAAATGTATTCCCTTTTGGACTGTATATAATAATGTGTTATATGCAATTTGTTCATAGAAGTCATTTGAAAAATATTTATTGAAATAGTCAATAGGAGCAGGCATTGATGCTGGTGCAATTACAGATTCTATATCGTCTAAATTTAATTTTAAGTTTTCAAATGGTTGTTGTACCCATTTTATATCTTTTTTATTAGTAACATGATATTGTACAAGTGAATTTGATATTTCAAGATTTTCAGGTACTTCATTCGATGTATTTTCCTCATCATTATCAAAAATGTCCATTAATTCATCAAATTCGTTAATTGGGAATATCTCTTCATCATTATCTATGCTTCCTATATCTGAGATATTTCCATCTTCTAATAAATCTAGAATTTCTTGTTCGTGTAAGTTTTTCCACGTCATTTTAAAAATATTTAACGAGTGAGTATATTGTTTTAGTAATATTATAATTGATTATATGGTAATTATTATCTGTTAATTAATTTATTATAATTTAAATCATTAATAATAATATTATATTATGATATAATTATATCCGAAAAGAATATACATGGGAAATATAAATAAAACAAGCAAATTAACACTTACGCAACCATCCGTCCGTCGTTAGAATATACGTAAACAAGAGTATCCAATTAGACCGATGGGTCACATAAATGACCCAACATTCAAACGCTCGTACCAAACGTTTAAATAATCCAACAGTTTTATCAATAATATTATTACGACGAATAACAAGTTTACTCTCATGTGACGTATATTAATAGCACATAACTAATCGCAGAGTTTAATTAAATAACAAAAATAGAAAAAAAAAATAAGAGGATCTTTTTCTGGAAATTTTCTCATACAAATATCTAAATATAAATCGAACCAATACAGTTATGATAATGATAATCGCTTTACCGTATTCCTAGAAACTTGTCGCATCGATACGTATACAGAGTGATCGAAATATAATAAACCCGCATTCGTTATTGACGATCAAAGTATTGGGTCACAAAAGTGACCCGGAGGTCTGAAAGGGTTAATATAGACAAGGCTAATGAAAACTATGAAATTAGAGCTTTGCCAAAATTAACTGAAGCACATGTTTATCCATATAAACAAAAAATGAAAGTTTGTCTTGCTACACAAGTGTTTAGCCAAAGAGTGTCATCTGTTATGAAATTATTATCAAGACYAATGTTTCAAAATAATAAATTAAAGATTCTGATGGCACAGCAGATTTATTATTATTCGTAGATAAAACATTTGATTCCTTGAATGCTTCTAAACCATTATCAGGAGCAATAAAAATTGAATCCGAAGATGTTCATCTMAACCATTGGAATCAAGCAATAAGAGTGTTTCAAAGTATGAAATTCATTGACAAAATTACTAAAAAGCCGTTAGCAAGACAACCGCCGTGCATAAACAATTGGGTCATGACATTGAAGTCTTTTRAAYATCTTTGGTATAAGCTAAAAAATAAACACAACTTCAAATACCTGTTAACTAGAAACATTAATCAAGATTYCTTGGAAGTTTTATTTGGAAATATTAGAAGCCATTCCTATAGGAACACAAATCCAGACTGCTATCATTTTGTTTCATCATTTAAGACGTTATTAATAAATAACTTTTCTTCGGTYAAATTGATTGGAAATTGTGAACTGGATGAATCTGACAATGTTTTAAATAATTTAAAACAATTTATTACTGGTTCACCTGAAGGCTATCAGATATCCAATGAAAATGGTGAAAACCTACTCACTTTTCCAATAACAGATGGTTCTGAAAAACAGTTTACAATTGTCACTGATTTAAATGTTGGATATATTTCCGGCTATATAGCTCGAACAATTTTAAAGTATAACAACAATTGCAAATTATGTAAAGAWTTTTTAGTCAGCAAAGATAAAACTAACCTTCTAATTAAATCCAGAGACTACACATCTAACTCATTAATTCACCCGAATTCAACATATTTTAAAATTGTAAAACAAATGTTTGACCTTTCAGATACTATTTTACCAACAATTATGGAGAATGGCATAAGAAAAAAGTTAATTTTTATTTTTGAAATTAACATTGACACTTTCAAATTCTGTAACAAACATAATTTAAGTTCAATTTTATTTTATTTGAAAAATTTAAAAATTTTTAATTATTTACTTTGTCTAAAAGTATCAATAGGGTTCAAAAAGGTTCAGATTCTAGAACCTAACCTAACCGATTATTTAAAAATGTCTGCTCGTCAATATTATCTGAAACATAAGTTTAAAAAAATATCCTGTAAATATTGTTCAAAAACATACACTTGTCAACAACATGYCATACTACCTTTGCCATAACATATAATATTTTAAATAAACTTGATATGTAATACCTGTTTAAATATAAATAGCTAATTATTTTGTAATTGTGCATATAAGATCACAGATTATATTAAAGTAAAACATAAGGATTAATATTTAATTAATATTATCTAATATTACTTGTAAAAATTAAAGTTTTATTAATTTAATTAGTTTTATAAATTTAAATATTTAAATCCTTATTAGTTATTTTATCTTTTTTCTATGTTTATTGTATAAACTTTTAATCTTTACCAGGTAGAAATGTTTATCATAGAATCAGTCAACGGTCAACGTACTATGTAGTTACAAACAATTGTCATCAGAGGGAGCCACGTAAGCAAACCAAAATTTGTTTCGAGTTGGGCATCTATCTTTCCTTTATCTATACTAGTATCGACTTCCGATGTGTGTAAATAATTTAAAATGTATGACGCATGACGCACACACGCACATCCACACATCGTGCTAACACATCCCCACTGTTGCTTCGGTCACGTGATCGATGCTTTTGGGCGGAATATGATCGGCGGCGATCAAAACTGGTCGCCGCCGAGTCATCATCTCATTTTGAACAGACTATAGCTATCAGTCATTAAATCACGATGTGCGAATTCTATAATATCCACTTGCGATGGATTGCGGACCCCGTTACGTGCGTAGGTATAAGTGAAGGAAGGAAATAAAGTTTATGGTCAATATACATATATTATATACCGAATAATAATGATACAGTGATAGCGGTAAGAGAGAGAAAAGAGAGCGACGTTRCGAATATAGTCGTGGTGGTCAAGTGAAAATCGTTTCACCGGAAATTCAAAAAGTTAAGTCATACCGAAAACTGTGACTTTGAGTGTCTAGCGGTCTTTCCTCATCTGGTGTAATACCGTGTCCTGCTGCATGCCCGGTTCTTTTTTGAATGTATATACTCGTACATTAAAGAAATACGAATAATTGTAATCGAATGTCAAGCTATCAATCATCATTGTATGCAAATCTGTGCGGGATAAAACATCCGCGTATGCCGGATTGGATGCATGTAATGGTCGCATGCCCTGTTCTTTTGTGCGTGCAAAAAGAATAAACACATAACGTAAAGTACAATTGTGTGTCTAGCTTTCAGTTCTCAATCGATAAAAATGTATACGTGTACTGGGCATACGACATAAGCCTATTGTGCCTTAAGCATTAACAGTTTGAATTAGTAAGTATAGATATTGTAATAATTAATAGTGTATTAATTTTATTGATTTCTAGTTATAAGCATTGATATATATGTTTCCACTCAACGATATGGCTTTGGAAAATGTATTTGAAAACAAACTCACAGCCAACGCTGCATGCCATTCATTTGAGCAGTAGGTATCCTCTACAAAAAATTGTATGTGATTCTTTAATTGATTTATTTTCTTTGATTAGATAAAATTAATTCAGGAAAGGACTGAGCATGTCTAAGCCTACTGACCTACAATTATAGGAGGCCTCACATTAAGAAAAATGTATAGGCGGTGCGATTAGTATTTTCTCTCAAACACAGCTGTGGTTCATGGAAAGTAATACATTATTTAATGGATATCTATTRCTTTTATTTATAAGTGAATTCTGTACCCATGGAGTATCTTTTTCAAAATTTAAATTTAAAACAAACTTGTTTTTAATTTTGCTCTGCTATGATTTATAAATATCCTAATTCTTAATTTGTAAATTAGTATTTATAATTCAAATCAAACTCTTATTCCCCAATTTATTATTCTTCTTATGATTTTCCAAATTTCAATTCTTAATAATGGTGACATTTTATTAAAATCAATAATAATTTTGAATRTGTTAAATWATATATAATTTTAACATTTTATGATTTGGTGATTTTAAGTCGATACAGTATTGAGTATTGCATCATCMCTGGAAAATCACTCTAGAGTATAGATGAATACAATGTTCTTAATATAATTAACCTTTTTGGCTTTTTGTGTGATTTCAGATTGTACATGATTGAAAATTTATCAAGAAAACGGAGCCTACCAAATTTTTGAATACGTATTCAATATTCATAAATAACTTTAATAGTTACTATATTATTGGTTTATGCCGTTTATGAATATGGTATGGAGTGAAATGCCATGTACTAACAACTTGAGATAAAAAGCTACAATGAAGATACAACTTCTAATTTCTACAATGAATTGATTGTTTATATGAATATTATATATATATATTCAATATATATGTACAAGTAATTCTTCTCATACATTAAATATAAATGAAATACCTAAGTAAAACACAAAATGCCGTCCCACTTTGATCAGACTGTGGACTGTCAATTATGCATGAATAAATTAAATTAAAAGTCAGATAATATATTAAATGCATAACTGACTGGTGTGGTTACAAATTGTGTTTTGAAGCTATGTCTGATGATTACGATAATAATACATGAAAATTACTGTTTGCGTTTAACTTATATTACAAGGTACTGGTTTCAAATTAGTTTTGTTACAGTTGCCCTTGTTTTAAAACAAAAAAAATTATTTTCCAAACATAGCAGCTATTATTGATATAATAATAAATCATAATAGAACAATAAACTTGTTCACCTATTTAAACTCAATATTTAATATTTCTATATATTGTTTTAGTTTCATAATTTCTGACAAAGAAAACAGAAGAAATTATTTATTTCATAATTATCAATTCTATCTTTTTTAGGAATGCAATTTATTTCTATCCAGCGGCAACACACCGAACATGACACCAATTCTACACAGTCATCTTCGGGGAGACTTCGATGCTTATCTAAGTGCTGGCTACAGTATAAGCATATGTTTGTCATGTCGTCAGAATTTTCTAAGAGATAATTTTTCAAATATTATGTGTAATTTTTAGGATTAAACTCTAAACTGAATTCAGAATCGTCCATAATTTTAAATGYGTAGTATATTAAATAAATTCCACAATTATATCCATATTTTAGTCGTGGAACGTTTTCCAAAGGGCATGTAATATGTGATAACGTTGGACATTGTAAATCGTCACCGTATATAACATTTGATTTTAGCATTTTTGGTACATTGATTTGAAATTTTGATGATYGAATTTCTGTGTTATATGGATTAAATGGATCCATGATGTAATACTCTTTGGTTTTGAAATTTAAAACAATTACTATCCATGGTAGAATAACTGTACTGTCCTGAGTAAAAGTAGTTTTATAATGCTGTTCACCAATTTCTCTTTTTTTAAACAGACGTCTGACATGGTTGGCTGATAAAACCTGGATATTCATTGAGCCTAGCTTAAAAGCATATGACATCAAGCAGATATCTATAACAAAGTTAGTCAACCAATTTTTCCCAGATAATGAATCAAAATCTTGAAAGTACAGGTCGTCTAAAACGTCCATAGTATGTCTGAAACTAGGTAATATGTACCCATAACTTCCTACTATATAATCCGCCTGGAATATATCGTTTGGCATTCGTTTATAATATGTCAAATCTTTAGGAAGCATATTTTTATATAAATCTATAGATTGCACTGATTGTCAAAACGGAGATTTATGACTGTCAGGTGTCGAAACAGATTTCATCAAGCAATTATCATTGATTTGCTTACTCAAATCATGTACATCCATGTCATTGTTAATAGGCTCAACAACATTAAACCTAGTCTCATTGTCACATTTTGTAACCACAATACAGTCAATACCATCAACCGCAATGGGCAAAATATTTTCATCTGCTGTAGCGGTCGAATACTTTGGGATTTTTAATGTCAGGGCTTTGAAAGGACGATACTGGGTGTGTTGGAGATGTCTGTGCTGTTTCTCTTTTTTTCCCCAACTTTCTATCGCCTCTAAATGGTTATTGCTAGAAATGTCCGAGATTTTTCTTTTGGTAGTTATTCTCAAAATCAAGTGCACGCGTACAAGTTTTTTTCTAATATTATACTTTATTTGTTGATGAGCATTTAACACACGCTCTCTCATAAGTTTTAGAAAACGACCGCATGTCCACCTTCGGTCGCCATCAAGTATGTCAACTTTTACCGTTTTAATCCAAGACTTAACGGTAGCATTACTTTGGTGGATTTCAATGCCATTGTTGACTTTATTATTCATAACAGGTGTTCACAATGCTAAGAAAGGTACACAATTGACTATGAATTCGCGTAAATATAATTCATCATAATATTCATTAATAATTATATCATCACTGTTTACAGTACAATTTAAGACTTCGGTTTTAACATGTTCTTTGATAGACTGAAATCTACAGTACATCATGGAATTACTCGTATCGGACTCGCATAGAAATTTATTTATCTCTTCTGATTAATCTTTGCCCTTGTCGTTTGATTCATTCGACAGTTGGTGCCTGGTGGTTAATATTACACTTGTCTCTCATCGTATTAATGGCATTTTTGGTTTCTCCTGTACTACATGGAGACAACAATATCAATAAAAATATTTTGAACCAATTTTCAATATCATCCAAACTCTTTGCGTTAAACAGTGAACATATCCAATCAATAACATTTTTTTGTTCGTTTTTTCTACACTCTTATTGTTGTTTGTCTCAGATTGAAAATATGTATAGACATGGTTTACTATGATTTTTGTATAATGATTCGCACATATGTTTATGATCGTGAAATTAGACCCGTTATTGTTTTCAACCAATGCTCTGTAACATCAGTTAAGATAATCGAATATGGAGGTAAAACCATTCCAACCTATACACAAGGGATTCAAACCAGAACTATACACATCCGCCACTAACACTCCGTTTGCGGTCTAAACTTTAATCCTAAAAGTTTAATGTCTATTAATTGTCTAACTGTTCTTTACTATAGCAGTGCACTGGAAGGTATACCGACATGCTGTACAAAATTGTTTTCTTTATCGTTACACACCAATAAAATATCATGAAAATCATCTTTATCATAATCATCAGCAGTCAAGGCCTCTGATCTCATTTTTCTGACAACATCATCTGATTTAATGCCTTGCAGATTGCCACAATTCAATTGATAGGGTGATGCTGAGTCAATAGTGTCTGACCTGAAGGAAAACGCTTTAGTTTTTTTTTAGTGCTTCTTTGCTCAAGTCACGCTGAAACCCTTTTACGTGATTCGTGAGACCAGTGTCATCGGGATTGTGATGATAATTCAAACCAGAACTATACACATCCGCCACTAACACTCCGTTTGCGGGCTGAACTTTAATCCTAAAAGTTTTACACCCCTCATGGCTACAATACATGTACACGTTGCAGTGATTTTTAAAATATCTGACCATTTTAGCATTAACAACGCATGTATTGTTCACAGTTCTTATGCGCTTCCTAAACATAATAGGATACCTAATCTTGTCCAAACGGTTTTCGCCTCTGAAATTTGTATAATTCATAAGAGACCATTCTTCAAATGAAAATTTAAAAGATCCTTCAAAACACTTAAAATCATGGTTGTCATATTGTTTTGGAAATTGATTTTTTGTTTGCAAAGGTAGAACAACACCAGACTTTATTGGCGATTTCTTATAGAAGGCATTCCTGAGGGGGCTTGGAACATGTTTTTTGTTAGTTATTTTACTCGGGATAACAAAAACAGATTCATCGGTTATGTTTTCTGGTAGAATTGGAGTACTACTAGGTTAGGATCTCTTTTAGTCTGAATGAAATCAGTTTCTGGCGATCCATTCGTATATTGCAATGAAACATTGTCACTTTGTAGAAGTTCAACTCGCTATTTGATTTTTTAATAAAATCAATTGGATATAGTTGGTTAAATGCGCATTGTTTGATATTACGTAATATTAGCGACCCCCCAACACCTCAGATCACTTCCCAGCCTTAAACCACCTTAAATAATGGTTTGCAATGAGCAGAAAAAATTTCAAAATTATCACAGCATCTACCTCTATACGATGATAAGTTTGAAATGTATGAAATCTTTGGAGAAATTAGGTGCCAAAATAATTACTTTGTCTCTGGTGCCAGGGTAACTCACAGGGAACTATCTCGACACCGGTGGCCAAACAATTATTTCGGCACCTAATTTCTCCAAAGATATCATACATTTCAAATGATAAAAATAAAAAATATTTTAAAATACGATTTTTTAATAAAAACATTGGTTTTTGAACAACGAAAATATGTAAAAAACATTAGTAATTTTTGAAATAATGAAAAAAATCACCCGGTATTAATATTATTTGTGATTGTAATGTTATGAGATCTTATGATAATATTTTTAAATTGAAAAACGCTGTATTATAAATTTCTAATCATTATCAACATACTGTGAACTTTTCGTTGAAATTTAAATTTTAGTATCATACATATTATATACATGTCAATACCAAAGCTGAATTGTATCATCAATTTCTGGATATGGGTTAAAAAAATTGAATGACCGATGACTGGTCATCAATTTGTATTACAAAATCAGGAACCCATGTATTTTACCTATTTTAAAAAAAATTAATGTATTACATTATTTATTTTAATTTTTTAGGTTATGTGATGGAATATTGAATTTTAAAATTTACTTCGTGTGTTTATAGTGGGTATCGTTMAATGGATTCTGCCACCATGACTCTAATGCCTTCAAAAACTGATAAAATACTTTGTCAATTGCATACAAATTGTTACAATTAATTATTGGGTAAAAAATTTATAATGGCGTTGCCTTTTTCATCTATTATCCCCTTAATTTGTTCGCTAAATATATGAATGTATTTGACATTAATATACGAGTACATTAATTGTTCCAGGGTTTTTTTTTATTATAGATTTTTTCTAATCTATCCACTTCACACACTTGGACACTGAAACATGAGATGCAATAAAATTAAACTACTCAAATTAGGCATTAAGATATATTACAAGATGTTACTTACTTATGAAGGATGTCATGGGAGTTATGTAATATAATATAACTGAATATATCATAGACGTATAACATAATAGACTAGGAATGAAGGCTTTTCATTGAAGCCAACATATGTGTGAGAGAGACAGGCTTTGTTGCG